TCATCTGTCCAGCAGCTCCTGAAACACAGAGACACCTGAGATGAGAACCAGAGTCTGGCAGCAACACGACAGTCTGGAGATGAATAAACAGCATCAGTTGATCTGTTTGGAGACAAAGATGGCAGCAGGAGCTTCATCATCACTGACTCAGCAGAAACTGCTTCCAAATGCAGGAACTCACCTGGCAGCAACATGGCCGCAGAGAGGAAAGAGGAGCAGGAGGCGGAGCATGTTGGAGGCGTCCAATCAGAGAGCTGGAAAGCAGAACATCGCGTCAAACATAAATCAGTTTTTACTTTCTGCTGAGTTTGTTGTTGAAGTTTGAACGTCTCGTTTCATTTCAGTCAGGAATGAAGTCATGAATCTGGGGCAGGTCACCAGGGCGACACCTGCAGGGGCAAACATGTCCTCTGTACAAACACATGCTGCAAAGTTCCTGATGAATCAGCAGCACAACCCAAATGATGAACTTTGTTTCAGGTTTCTCACACAAATGTTACATTTTAATGTTCCGCCAAAACTCCAGATGGTGGTAAATCGGAGGATGAACAGCAATATCTGGCAACTTCCAACTGCTTCTGATCTGCTGCCAGATTCTGAGACACTTCAAGACGATCCTGTCCTGGTTTTGACCTGCAGTGAGTCCGGCTGATCCAAACAGCAGCGCTGGCCGTGAGCTGAATCATGTCACGAAACTGCAACAAAGAGCCTGAAGCAGCGAAGCGCTGGTTGGAAACGACGTCCAACAGGAAGCAGCTGGCATGCGGAGCTCAGCCTGACGCTGACACAAACAGCTGGAGGCTGTGTGTGTTCTTCTGTGATTCAGTTTTAATTCCTCAGAAACACACCCTGACAAGTTTGGTAACATGGCAACAATCAATCGATCAATGAAATCAGATTTTATTTAATAGCACCTTTCAGCAACACGGCTTTTCAAAGAGCTTTACATCATGAAAACACACAAACGTAAAGTCATAGAAACATCAGATTATTGGTGAATGTTTCACGATTTTGTTTCTTAATCAGCCATGGATTTAAAGGAACTCAGTGTTTCAGCTGTTTTGCAGTTTTCTGGGTTTGTTCCAGATTTATGGTGCATAGATGCTGAAAGTGGACGTCTGATTCGAAAACCTTCAAATTTTACTCAAGTTAGAGAAACAATAGTTCAACACATTTTACTCAAGTAAAAGTAAAAAGTATCATTTGAGGAAATGATTCAACTAAGAGTAGAAAAGCATTTGGTGAAAGGTTTATTCAAGTACTGATCAAAACATGAATCATGTTTTCATCAGATGCAACAAAATATAAAGTTATCTGGAAATTTTTCACCAAAATGAAAAAAAATAATTTTGTAAAACTGCTACAATTAGTGGAAGGAAAATTTCTCCAAATCTTTTTCTTTCAACATAAAGTTTCTGAAACATTAACAAAACATTTGTTAATGTTTTTTCTGTCTGGAGAATTTATGGTTAATTTTGCAAATTGCTGTAATAATTTTGCAGTTTTTTCTACGTGGCTGTTGCTGTGAATCTCAGAGAATTTGGTTTTCTGGAGAAACGTCACCATGTTGTGTCCAGCAGGTCTTACCGTCTGCAGGAGGATGATGAAGGTGATGATGATGAAGGTGATGATGATGAAGGTGATGACTCTGGAGCTGTTGGGTCGACTTGGCGTCTCCGTCCGGATGCTGCTGCTGCTGCGTCTGTCCGTCTCTGCTGGATTAAATCTACCTGCAGAGGAGGCGGCGACAGCGATGATTGGCCAAACACCTGGGACAGGTATTTGCCTCAGGCTCATTCTGTTCTTAGGAAGGTCATTTGTACTGATGGTGAGGCAGAACGCCAGCAAAGGAAAGTAACTGAACCAGAAAAGTGATGCTCATAACTCAGTGACAACATAACATTTGTTTTGAGCTTCAACGTCCATCAGGACACCAGAGGACATTTACAGGATTGTCCAGGAATGTGTTAGAAAAGGAGTGGATCCTAAAATGCATCATCGTCTCAAATGTTTATGATATTTCCTGCAGTTGGTGTTTTGTTGGCTCTAGTGTCTCTAATATAAAAGCAGGAAGACAGAAAAGGGGGGAAGTTATGCTGCAAATATGGGTTGGTCCAGGAATGGAACCTGCAACGGTCGCGTCGATGACTCAAGGCTTCCCAATGTGGTTCAGGCTGTTCCCTACGCCTCCACAATACGCCATAATTACCTCAAATATGCAGCAAATATGAGGAAGAAGAGCAGAAGAATGAAGGCAGTGAATAAAGCTGGTGATTAACAGGTGCAGCCAGGAACCAGTGAGACTCAGGTTGTTGTTTGGTAACATTTCAACCTGATGCTGAACTGAAATGACCTCAGTAGGACTTTTATAATGTCACTTCAGTTTTTATATCAAGTTTCTTCTGTCCTCAGTGTAAAATCCAGTCTCTACCTGGAGACATACTGGGCTGACTGGGCTCTTCCCAGTGGGCCTAAAGGCTGCAGGTTGCAGAGTCTCAAATGCCACGTATCAAACGCCTTTGTGACATCACTTCCACCCGGTCAGGCAGCAGAACCGCCGGCTGACCCTGAAGAGCAGAGATCAGAAGAACCCGTCCCACTGAACCGGGCCGACGAGGAAACGGCCTCTGAGGTCAGTATTACAAACTCAACGATGTTCATGAAGCAGAAAAGCCTCGTCTGGCCGTCTGCTGCTGCTGAGTCAGGAATGAAGGTCCATCCTTCTGTCTCCAGAACCGGGCTGCGGCCCGGCCTCCAGAACCAGGCTGCGGCCCGGTTTCCAGAACCGGGCTGCGGCCCGGCCTCCAGAACCAGGCTGCGGCCCGGTTTCCAGAACCGGGCTGCGGCCCGGCCTCCAGAACCAGGCTGCGGCCCGGTTTCCAGAACCGGGCTGCAGCCCGGCCTCCGGAACCGGGCTGCGACCCGGCCTCCGGAACCGGGCTGCGGTCCGGCCTCCAGAACCGGGCTGCGGCCCGGCCTCCAGAACCTGGCTGCGGCCCGGCCTCCAGAACCAGGCTGCGGCCGGCCTCCAGAACCAGGCTGCGGCCCGGCCTCCAGAACCAGGCTGCGGTCCGGTTCCAAGTCCAGCTTCTGATTCGGGGACGGCTAAAGGGCCATTCCGCATTTTTAATCGACTCTGGTTTAAAAACCACAAACTTCAAACCGGGTTGGATTAAAACCGACATACTGAAGCTTTTTATGAGTGAAAACAATATTTCAATCTTTCAGCTCTTCAGCTCTGGCCTTCATGTTTGCTGCTTTGAGTCGTTTCTCTTTCTATTTTCAGCGGCATGCTGGACTTCCTGGGTTTCTTCTTCTGTGGTAAGGACTGATTCTCCTGCCACCACTGCTGAGCAGCCTGCAGGTCGGTGAGTGAGGGCCGGATTTCTCCTGAGGGTGGAGCTGGAGGGACGAGGGCGGAGCTTTGGGGGCTTCCTGAGTCTCGCTGTGAGAGGCATCGTTGTGTCTCTGTGTCAGAGCGTGAACGCCGCTCTGTCCACGCGGCGTGTTTGGGTGCGGCGCAGCGTCTCTGCTGCCGTGCAGCCGCGGGTTCGGGTTGGCGCTGTGCCGGTTGCGGCTGCGCAGGGAGCTGAACACCATGGCGCAGCCCAGAACGGTGCAGCGGTTTGATCTGCAGGTGGACGGCGTTGTAGTGGATCTTCAGGGTTCCTGAAAAGAAACGCTGTTAGCATCGGCCATTTTATTTAGCTTAGCACAGTCGCGTCAGGACGTTTGATTTAGTTTGGCCTGTTCTGCTAAATATTCAAAGAACTTTTGTTTCTTTACATATTTGTTAAAACTGTTGCCATGTTGACAGTTTGATACGAGACAAACAATCTGAGAAAAATATGTGACTTCTGCTGTCAATCATCCTATGTCTGGTGCTTCTCATCCCTCTATCTATGCTACGTTGCAGCTAGCACTGTCTGTCGTGGATGCTATGCTAGTTAGCATAGACACTGATGGTAAGGCATCACATTTAGTAGCGAATGCATGTGCTTGATGGACAGCACTAAGCACCGCCTCTGTTCAATAATCTTGTAGTTATTTTAAAGATTTCATGTTTTGGATGTTTGTAGTGACGTTTGTTAGCAGTGAAACTCTTTCATCCATTATGCAGTTGACCTTAACTTTGACCCCGTTGTGTCATGTTCGCTCACCTTTGTCGTAGAAGCTTTTGCCACAGACGCCACAGCTGACCCGGCCCTTCCGGCCCCCGGCAGCCAGGAGGGAAGGAAGGAGCAAAGCGAAGACGGGACAGGATGGAGGGACGAACACGGCGCAGGGACAGGGAGGAGAGGGGAAGAGAAGGAGGGAAGAGGTCTTAGGAAAGAGGAGGAGAAGGAGGGAAGGGTCTGAGGATGTTGTAGGCGAGAGGAAGAGGAGGAGGAGGAAGGTGGAAGTGTGAAGTTGAAGGAAGAGGAAAAGGAAGCAGTTTTCTCTCTCTTCTGGAGGAAAACCCGGTCCTGGTGGAGGACGGGGTTCTGTTGCCACTGTGAGGGATTTGAGTTGTCCGGGTCGGTTTTTATGGACAAGGCCGGTTCTGATCTCTGCCATTCAGAGTCGACTTCCCCACATCGAAGCAGTTTGTGTTTCCTGAAATCCTGCAGGACGTTTTGCAGCTCAGGAAATAAACCCTGCAGAAAGAAGTGGAGCGAAATCTAAAAGATGCTCTGCATGACGGAAACACCAAGGATCAAGAATCACCACCTTGGCTGAACGGCAGGCGGCCGATTGTGGAAAATGGAAAGACAGGAGGACCGACTGTCCGGCCGGGACGTTTTCTCTCAGAGGGGAGGTCTGCAGAGCAGACGCTCCGTCGTTGGAACCGGACTGGACGTTTCTCACCGGACCGTTGAGCCGCAGCTCAGGCCGCAGCTCAGGCCGCAGCTCAGGCCGCAGCTCAGGCCGCAGCGCAGGCTGCAGCGCAGGCCGCAGCTCAGGCCGCAGCTCAGGCCGCAGCGCAGGCTGCAGCGCTTCGCCCTCCAGCTGCTGCAGGATCATCTCCTCCACGATGGGCCGCGTCTCTCCGAAAGCAGGAACTGTCTGAGGAGCAGCAGCTGCTCTCGGGGCGTGGCCGTGTCCCAGCGCTCCAACACGCCCCCACCAGGACGCTGCAGGAACAGCAGACATGAAGCCTGTCAGTCGCTGCTGACTTGAAATGATCTCCATAATGCCTGGCTCAACGGTTCCTGTGAAGAATTGTGTCTTACAATCAAGTTGTGAATAAATTATTGTGCTTAATTGCTTTTTACACAGATTTATTGTGGCTTGTAGACGTGGGATCCTGATTGGCTGAAGCTCAGAGAATCATTTAGATTTTATTTTTAGTTATACAACAGTAAGATATGTCTCACCTTACACACAATATGTAGTAACACAATGTGCTTGCCTTCTTCATAACAACTAAATGAATAGAAAATACCCTTTAGGAGGATCCTGATGATTTTCTTGTTTTCTGGGATGAACTCTTTTCATTCACTGAGTGAATGAATCAAAGATGCTCTGGATCTGCAGCTTCTGGACGTTAAATAAGAAACGTTTCCATCACTGGGTTTACCTGCAGCATGTATCCTCGGACGTAATCACCCAGAGTCCAGCCCAGACCGGTCAGGATCTGGCCCACCTGAGGCAAAACAAGCAAACGATCAAACCCGACCAGCACCAGCACCAGACCCAGCACCAGAACCAGGCCCCAGCACCAGAACCAGACCCAGAACCAGCACCAGAACCAGGCCCAGCACCAGAACCAGGCCCAGCACCAGAACCAGGCCCAGCACCAGAACCAGAACCAGCACCAGACCCAGAACCAGAACCAGGCCCAGCACCAGCACCAGAACCAGCACCAGACCCAGAACCAGAACCCAGGCCCAGCACCAGCACCAGAACCAGCACCAGACCCAGAACCAGACCCAGACCCAGAACCAGAACCAGGCCAGCACCAGCACCAGACCCAGACCCAGCACCAGAACCAGACCCAGACCCAGAACCAGAACCAGAACCAGAACCAGAACCAGACCCAGAACCAGACCCAGCACCAGAACCAGGCCCAGCACCAGAACCAGAACCAGCACCAGACCCAGAACCAGACCCAGCACCAGAACCAGACCCAGCACCAGAACCAGCACCAGACCCAGCACCAGACCCAGCACCAGAACCAGAACCAGAACCAGAACCAGCACCAGACCCAGAACCAGAACCAGACCAGCACCAGACCCAGACCCAGCACCAGAACCAGCACCAGACCCAGCACCAGCACCAGCACCAGACCCAGAACCAGAACCAGAACCAGAACCAGACCCAGACCGGGTTCATGGGTCACCTGCTCTGGAGGCAGGACGCTGTACAGCCGGTCCAGTAAGATCTTCAGCTGGACGGGAACAGCCTGAGCCCCGAACAGAACCAGGGAGCTCAGGTCAAACACCGGACCCGGCAGGGCCACCTCCACCGGGCCGGACGCCGACCGGGCCTGGACCTTCTCCAGAGCTGAGAGGAGAAATGAGACAAAGTGAGTCAGGAGACAGTCTGAGGGAACGAGCAGAACCGGAGCAGAACCACAGCAGAACCACAGCAGAACCACAGCAGAACCGGAGCAGAACCACAGCAGAACCGGAGCAGAACCACAGCAGAACCACAGCAGAACCGGAGCAGAACCGGAGCAGGTGTTGATGATAAACCTGACAACACCTGATCCGCGTTTGCATGACCCAGATGTTTCATCCAGATGTTCCTGACGACACGATGACAGCAACACCTGACTCCACGTCAGCGCCGAGTCGGAACCAGCTGCAGGCTGAGCCGTAAACCCAGGAAACAGAACCGAACATCCAGAATGTTCTGCTCAGATTTCTGGGGCGGTTCTGGAGTTTGTTAGAGTTGCAGGTTTTTGCTTCTTGTCAGATTTAGATGATCACTGTGACATAAATCTGTCTCATGTTTTCTGACCCGTTTCTGACGTGCTGAGCGTTAATGCATCAGATCATCAGGCAAAAATATTTCCAAGATTCTTCAGACTAATGAAATATGCCAATCATAACTGCAGAGATGCTTTAGAAACAACCTGAGACGATTGAACTCCATTAATCTTTTATATTCTATGCATTAATGTTGATACTTTCTATTTTTAGTCATTTATTATTATTGGAGCCTCAGAACTGAATTTCAGTCAATATGTTTATTCTAAATGTGCAGCTGGATAAAATCGGTCCAATTAAAGCTCTGCAATAAAATAATCTACAAGTTTCACGTCTATAATCCACCATAATCTGCCTCTGAAAACATTCATATGCAAACATTTCTCACAACGTTTTCATCATAACTTCCATCATCTTGTTTTAGTTGCAGGAGTTTTTAAAGCAAACGTAAAATCAGCAGGAATTAAAAACTGAAGCAAATTAATTCAACCAACAAGATTTAAACGTTTAGTTGTAGTGGAACTCGATGACGTTGTTCCTTCTTGCATTTAGAACTGATAAAGTTTGCGTGTTTTTACCGTGCTCCACCCAGCCGTGTCCGCAGCGATCACATGACCTCAGCTTGACCTTTCCGGGTTTAAAAGAGGCGCAGCTGCAGGACGGCGCGCTGCACCTGACGGACTGACGGACACAGATCAGCTTTCTGTCCTTTAGTGAAACGTTAAAGAGAAACTTCAGCGTTACTTTTAGCGTTTACCTGCGGAGCATTCGGAGTCGTCCTCATTCCTTCATCCTGCAAAATAAAATCAAACATCAGCAGTGATCAAATTCACCTTTCAGCTGGAAAACGAGAAAATGAAACAGAAATTAATTAACATCTACAGGCTCAGATTCAGCATAATATCAGGCAAATTTATTTCACCTAAAATATTTAAAATAACATGAAAAGTAAAAGTTCTATAAAATCAATTAACAATTCAAAATAATAAAATGAAAGTATTTAAAAATTCTTTTGTTTCTGCAAATTTACTTTCACTATAAAACAAATCCAGATGATCACTAACATTTTTATTTATTGATTCGTTTTACTGTAAAAACTGAAAATGAAAAAAAAATCCAACTTTCATTTTTAAATTACTTAAATTTACTTTTAATCTCACATTTTTTCATGCAGGACAAAAATTCAGTTAATTTAGAAACAAATGCAGAAAATGTTCTATAAACTGTTAAATTCACTGAAACAGTAATAAAAAAATTATATAAAAAAAGTAAAACTGTGAAATTTGAAGGTTTTAAAAATAGTATTTTTTAGAAGCTTCTTTATAATTTTACCTTTATTGAGCTGATGAAAGAAGAGCTGCAGATTCTTGTGAAATATTTTCTAATTTTCTTCCAGTTCTTTGGCTTCGCGATCAAACTGCAGGTTATTCTTCCTCCTCCTCTTCCTCGCCTCTTCGTCGCTCCCTCCTCTTCCTCCTCTCCATCTCTGGACGTTTCTTCCTCATCTGAGCTTCGAACACGTTCTGGTTTTTATTTTGCCTCGACTCCTCCCTGCAGCTGAACACGATTGGACAAAAACCAAAACATAACCAAACTTGTTTATTAACGTTTTTCCTTTGATTTGATTGCAGATGAAAATACTGATTCACATTCCAGCATAAAAAGATGAAATAACTGAAGCTCCAGATTTCAGATCAACAACAGAAAACGTTTGAGATCAGAAGTCAGAGGAAAGCAGAAATCCTGGTTTTAAATGTAAAGATTTCACTGAGTTTATGAAGCTTATTAGCGATTATTTAAACCCAGTTTTAATAAAACGCATCATGATCTGAAATGACGACTCAGCGTCGGATCAGGAGATGAAAACATGAAACGTTGAAGAGCCCAGTCGTCACTGCTGGTCAAAAGGTTTAGAAAATACTAATTTTTCATGTTTTTAATGAAAATGAAGCAGCTCAATGTCTACCACCATCACTTCCAGTACAAGGAAGTACTGGAAGTGATGGTGGTTATAATTCCTGATGAAACAGACGAACACATGGCAGCGTTTCCTCCCAGAGCAGAGCAGAAAGTGTTTGAGGGATGCAGCTCCGTTATCTTGTTCTCTGTCCTGACTTCTGGCTCAGTTTTGGCTCTTATGCTGAAAACTTCTGACTTTCACTTCGATAGAAAATCTGTTTTTTGAATATTTGTTAAAACTTTCACCATGTTGCGAAGGCTTGTTATGAGACATAATCTCTGGGCTGCTATTGCCATCTGAAGAAATGCTCCAAAACCAGCCAATCAGAACCAGGAGGAGGGTCTCAGCGCTGTCAATCATTCCGGTGTACTCACTACTAAATGCGCAAATGTTGGAGAAACAACTCATTATAACAGGAAATTCATTTATGCATCATCATGGCAGAGCATTCGCAGCAGGATCTGCTGATGGGAAAAATCTGGCAGCGCCATTTGAGATGGTGACTGACAGCGCTAAGACCCGCCTCTGCGCTCTGATTGGTTGTTTCTAGTTAGAGCTGGGAGAAGACAGAGGACTCAGATAATCTGCCACAACGTGATGACAGTTTCATCCAATACTGATTCGCTCAAAGTCACATATTTAAGCTTTAACTGTCTGTAAGCTCTTCGATCCATCTGAAAAGTGGTACAAACAAAGTTTGGGGACATTAATCAGTGTGAAGACTTTTCTGTTCCAGAGGTGGAATAATCAGGAACCATCCAATAAAACATGACTTTCTGCTCCAGAGGAGGCAGTTTGTGTGAAATCTAGTGAATGTTGTTTGAACCTGCTGTCCTCAGAAAGCAGACTTTGGTGCCGAGATGAGATGACCTGGAAAAGTTCTGGTAAACACTCACAGAGACAGAGGCGTTGTTGGACAGGCATCCTGTCCTCGGGGAGCCGCAGACCTCCTTCCTGTTTTGATGTAGCACTAATTAGAATATCAGACGATAACGTCCCGTCAGCCAGAAATCACCGCCGCTCGCTGACACAGTTCAGGATCAGAGCGTCTCCGCGGGCCGGGCTTCAAACGCAGCGCCGGATCACCTGATGGGCGGGACCAGCGTCCTGGTCCTGGTTCTCAGAACACGGACTTTCTGGAAACTTATTAGATTTTATTACAGGAACCAGAGAAAACAACAGAATTAAAGTGGGGCTAAAGTTTTCCTGCTTTAGGTTCACAGAACCGGAGTGTCTGGGTCCGGTGTGCAACAAACAGACTCTGATGTTCTTAAAGGGCCAGTATGATATAAAATAGACTTTTTTGATTTTCACATCATGTTATAAAGAAACCTGTAGTGTTGCTTTAATCTCCATGGCAACCATTCATCAGTGCAAAATGCCTGGGTGGGGCTTAGCCCCGCCTACAAGACGCAGCTCCTCCTCTGGACCGCGGTTTCCAAGTTCAAAGCGAAGGCCTCCAGTCTGAGGGCCACAAACGGCCCCCGGGCCACATGTTGGACACTCCTCTTATTTTTCTGACCATTTTAAAAATAAATCCTTCTCTCTTGATTCAGTCTGAGCTTTTCTGAGTCTGTTGGGTTTTAATTTGCGTTTTAAAGCCAACATCTCGTCTCGGTCCACAGGGACGTGTGTGACATGTGTGTCGCCTCCCTGTCCGTCACTTTTGTCATTTGTCGCCTCAACCGACGGCTTCAGCGGCGCCTGAGCTTAATTTTACATGACTACAAACATTTGAAGAGGCTCTTAGACTCGGAGTGGCCCCCAGGCCCCCCGTCCCGCCCCGCCGTATCTGTGCCACTGACGGAGCTGCAGGCTGCCTCTTTGTAGCGACGCCAACTTGGCTCCGATTCAGTCGCTGCGGTGGGAGGTGTGTGTTTAAAGACGAGGTGTGTGTGCTGTCACAGGTACAACTGGAGCAGCGAGGAAAATAAAGTTTCTGGAGTAATAATAAAAAACCTGAGGGAGATCCAGAAGTAAAACAGGACGCTGGCACCTCTGAGTTATTCCTTTTGTTCTCTGCTTTGTTTTGGCGCTCCAGATTTAATTTCACTCTTTTATTAATGACAGAGAAGTTTGAAGGTGGAAATCGAGGGACGCTGAAAAGAAAACTCTTCTCGACTTTTAATCCTATCAGCTTCAAACCAGAGGATGAAAGACCGTCATCCTCATCCCTGCTGGACTTTTAAAGAATCGTTTTTCACATTAAACTTCAAGCAAGAAAGGAAAAAAGTCACAGAGCAGCTCATTTATTTACACTGGACTATCTGGTAATTTTTCTTTGTAAAAAGACTCAAATCCATTAAACTTTAAGTCAAAATGTGAAATAATTCAACCTTTAACAGAGCTCTGGTTATTTCTATCAAACTGCATCAGAGACTTTATTTTGCATTTTCACTGTGAGCCTCCAAAAATGACGGGACAGTTTGACGTGTTCGTGCAAATTTTGAAGTATTGCCACAGAAAAAATGGATGGAAACAACAAAAATTGAAATAATTCCCTCAATTTTTCAAAAAAATGTTTTTGGGTTTTTCAAATAAAGAGTTGATGCTCTAAAAAGACGGAAACATTTTCTGAAGAATTTCTGATGCAGCAAATTCTGCCGTCCACTGCTGGGTCTGTGCCTTACCACAGGCATGAAACATGGAGAAAGGTCAAAGTTCACACCTGCAGCTTGCAGATTATTTAGGCAGAACTAAGAACGCAAAAAAAATAAAATTCCAAGAATAAAGTGGTAATATTCTGATATCAGTAATAGAATAGAGTCAGTAATATGAGAATAAAGGTGCAACACTCTGAGGATAAAGTTGAAACGTTTCTGACTTTTTTCTCGGCTGTTTTTGTCATTTGGACCTGAAACTCCGACTACCAGCTCGGACTTCTGGACTCGGACAGTTTTTGCCACCAAACCAAAAACTTTGAGCAGAATGAGGATTTGAGTCAGAATCAACTGAAGTGTTTCTGTGTTGGTTTCAGACCTAAATCCTGTAAAGACCTTAAAGCCGAGCAGAATAAACGTCTCTCCGGGTTAATTTGGTCCACTGGGGCTTAATGGGCCCATGGCGGCGCTCAGGCCCGGTTCTGTAGGTGGGGGAGTGTCACTGCGGCTCCTTTCTCCTGTCAGTTTGGCGTCTCGGAGCGTCTCCAGAGGAGGACATGACCTGATGTTGATGTAAATCTGTGTCTCCACATAAAGGCTCCGTGTTGCTGCAGCAGCAGCAGGCGGAGCTGCAGCGCGTCTTTTAGTGTCACTGCGAGCCGCGGCGCCGCTTTGTTTCAGGATTATCCCTCAGGAGGATTCAGGCGGCGTTCAGACTCCAACAGAGGAGGCTGCTGCCTCATCGCAAATTAAAGCCTAATCTGCTGCAGCGGCAGCTTGATGGGAGTGAACGCTTCCTGCTGAACCAGCAAATCTTCTCCGGAGAAAGAAGAAGAAAACAGCCAGGTGTCCCTGAGGGACTCCAAGAAACGACAGGAGAGCCAACGGCTCAGAGGGCCGCAGGCGAAACGCTACGGATGAAGGACGAGAAAAACTTCCACTTGAGGCATGAGCTTTAATCTTTATGACGGAAATTTAAGGGAAAAATTAAAAGTATGAGAATAAAATGGTTTGAGAATAAAGTGGAAACAATACTGGAATAAAATCGCAATAATATGAGAATAAATATTAAGAATAAAGTTAAAATAACAGGTGGAGGTTCAGTTTATCTCATGTTACAATTTAAGACAAAATTGTTTCTGAGAGGAAAACATTTTTAACAAAACCAGTAAAAACTACTGATGGTTCCCAACATGTGAACTCACTTCATTAACTGATTGAACTCTGAACCAGTATAAACCAGTTTATACCAGTTTAAACCTGTTTGAACCAGTTTAGACCAGTATAAACCAGTTTAGACCAGTATAAACCAGTTTAAGCCAGTATAAACCAGTTTAAACAAGTTTAAACCAGTTTAGACCAGTATAAACCAGTTTAGACCAGTATAAACCAGTGTAAACCAGTATAAACCAGTTTAAACCAGTTTAGACCAGTATAAACCAGTTTAAACCAGTTTAAACCAGTATAAACCAGTATAAACCAGTTTAGACCAGTATAAACCAGTTTAGACCAGTATAAACCAGTTTAAGCCAGTATAAACCAGTTTAAACCAGTTTAGACCAATATAAACCAGTATAAACCAGTATAAACTAGTTTAAACCAGTGTAAACAAGGTTAAACCAGTATAAACCAGTTTAACCAGTATAAACTAGTTTAAACCAGTTTAGACCAGTATAAACCAGTTTAGCCAGTATAAAACTAGTTTAAACCAGTTTAAACCAGTATAGCCAGTATAAACTAGTTTAAACCAGTTTAGACCGGTATAAACCAGTTCAGACCAGTATAAACCAGTATAGACCAATATAAACCAGTTTAGACCAGTATAAACCAGTTTAGCCAGTATAAACTACTTTAAACCAGTTTAAGCCAGTATAAACCAGTTTAAACCAGTTTAGACCAGTATAAACTAGTTTAAACCAGTGTAAACAAGGTTAGACCAGTATAAACCAGTTTAGCCAGTATAACCTAGTTTAAACCAGTTTAGACCAGTTTAGCCAGTATAAACTAGTTTAAACCAGTTTAGACCAGTATAAACCAGTTTAGACCAATATAAACTAGTTTAAACCAATTTAGACCAGTATAAACCAGTTTAAACCAGTATAACCAGTTTAAACCAGTATAAACCAGTTTAGACCAGTATAAACCAGTTTAGCCAGTATAAACCAGTTTAGCCAGTATAAACTAGTTTAAACCAATTTAGACCAGTATAAACCAGTTTAAAACCAGTATAAACCAGTTTAAACCAGTATAAACCAGTTAGACCAGTATAAACCAGTTTAAACCTGTTTAAACCAGTTTAGACCAGTATAACCCCAGTATAAACCGGTGTAAACCGGTTTATACTTGTTTAAACCAGTTTAGACCAGTATAAACCAGTTTAGACCAGTATAAACCAGTTTAGACCAGTTCACCAGGTCCAGGTCTGACCTGAACCCCGGTTCTGCCTGACCGGGTCGTCTACGTCCGTCTGTTCCAGTTGCAGAATGCTGAGGTGAGTGATGCTCTGACTGGAGGAGACATGTTGAGGCTCCAGGGGAGGAAACTGGTTTCCAGCTGAGTCAGCGGCGCCGTGCGTGTCCCTCAGCAGCTGATGCGGCATCCTGGCCCGGAGCAGAGCGAGCGATGGGACCTTCGTCTGTCATGAGCAGATCGTCTCATCTGAGACGCGGCGGCGCCCCAAGCCGCCGCCGCGTCTGAGTGCTGACTCAGCAGAATCAAACGCTCCGACTTCAATCAGAAATAAATCCTGATCAGGTGGTTTGGTGTTTTCCCTGAGGACTGGGAACGCTTCAGATGGATCTTAGGCTTCTCTGATGAAACTTTAACGGGAGTCCCGTTCAGTCCGGTTCCGTCCAACTCCAGTCCGGTCGCATAGAAAGTCCGGTTCGTTTGGATGCGTAAAAACAAAAAGTGAACTCTGACCCGTCTGGGTTCAGTTGAACTATAGTTTGCTTCAAATGCAAATGTGAACTCGAAGCGGACCGGAGACTTCTCCAAAAGCAGGAATTGAACCACAGTGCAGGGCATTCTGGGTAAATACAACCATGCTAGCCTAGCGCTAGCAGGAGAAAAACAGATAATCAGATCAATTGGTCCAATTGACGAGGATCAGGCAGAGGATCGTTTTACAAACACCAGGAGTTTCCCTGACTTTAAACCGTTTATTTCACAAAATGGCCGACTCAACCTCTGACACGGGACGACATGAGGAGGTGGGCGTGGCCTCTGGGTGAAAAGCTGCTTTCTGTTTGTCATCTGAAGTCTGAGAATTGATCAAGCTAAATATTGTTTGGGCTCTAGGGGCGCCAACAACAGACAACACGTCCCAAACGTCAAAGCTGTGAGTTCAGAAACAATTTCTAACATTTTTATGGTCTAAAATCCAAATCATCATGACTAATGAAACTGATTATGGGTTTAATCAGACGCGGCCCGTCTGGGCTAGGGTCC